TCGTGATGCCATATGGCAGCAGGGTCTACCATTAGACAACACATTATGCTTCCAATATCTTCCCAGGCGGTAGTATCTACCTGTTTGGTAGCTGCCTACTACCTACACAATTTTTAGTAATATTACTTTGATACATGATAAATTAGACAATGAAAATAAACATCAAATTTAATTACCAAGACGCTTCCCATTGGCAGCTGTAAGAAGAGGGGGAGATGGGCTATTTATAGCCCGTCTTTGTGTCTGAAGTGACCAGTACCGGTACCCTAATGCACCATAAATAATTCATTTAACATTTATTTTTTGTACATATATTTTGTTGTATATATATATATATATATATATATATATATATATATATATATATATATATATATATATATATATATATATATATATATATATATATATATATATATATATATACAGCGGGGTATGCTATAACGAATGGATTGTATTATGAATAGTCCTATAACGAACGGTTTTACCTATAAAATTGAGAATGCTATAACGAACGAAACTCCTACAACGATTTTTTTTTACTAAATTATTGTTTTTCTTTTTACAAGTATTAATGATATTCTTTATTTCAGGGTTTAGATATATATATATATATATATATATATATATATATATATATATATATATATATATATATATATATATATATATATATATATATATATATATATATATATATATATATATATATACAGTTTTACCCCGCTTAACGCGCTTTCACTTAACGCGTTTTCGCATATACGCGGTGCCTTGCCAAAGCTGAACTTTCACTTAACGCGGGTTTTTTCCACATATACGCGGTGAGTGTCCGGCTCGGATGCTATTTTTAGATTTTGCCCACGACCACGCGCCACCCACCCGCCCGCCTGCCTGCCTGCCTCTCCCTCCTCCTCCCTCCGCTTGGGTAAGCGGCGCGGTAAGGTTGCGCAGTGTGTGTCTTTGTTGCGTTATCACTGACGTCATATGACGTCTCGGACTGTGATTGGCCATGCAGCCCTACCCCCCTCTGCTGCTAGCTGTAATTGGCTTAAAGTATTATGACGTGACTACCCCGGGGAGGGAGGGAGGGAGGAGAGACGACGCTTGACCTAGCCGCAGCAGTTTCATCCCTCCACAGCCAGCCCAAGCCAGTGATAGTGATAGTGAAGTTGATTTTGAGGGATTTGTCAGGGAAGCCATGACAACTGTAAGTGACAGTGATATTGATTCACCTAGTAATGGTGATTCACCTAGTAATGGTGATTCACCTGAGGGGCAGTAATCTGCCCTCTGCCTCGGAACCAGCCTCCATCCCCGTATGCCGACCCATCTCTTCTACTACCGTGAGTGTTCCTCAAAAATTTTCGTTTTTTAACCTATTCTTTATTTTTCCTATGTTAACCTTTATCTTTCCTAACCTAACCTCTTCTATATTACTTGTTTTTCATGCCACCATAAAGTTAAGATAGAATTTTTACTACAACATAGTTATTTGTCGTCAAAAAGTGGAGTTTGGGGGTCGGGCTGGGTTCTATTGGAATTAATCCCATATGTTCTGTTATTCACTTAACGCGGTTTTCACTTAACGCGGGACCCTCTGGGTTCAATTGACCGCGTTAAGTGGGGTACAACTGTATATATATACAGTGACCCCTCCGTTAACGAACTCAATCCGTTCCAGAAGGTCGTTCATTAACCGAAAAGTTCGTTAACCGAAACCATTGTTTCAATGGGTTTTTGGGTAATTGGTTCCAGCTCACCAAAAATTTCCTAAATTCAACAAAAATAGTAGAAAAGTTCACTTACTTTGAGGTGTGTAAGTAGAAAGCTCCTGGATGATGATGATGATGATGGGATTTAGAATGGGGGTGGAGGAGAAGGAAGAAGAGAAGGCATTGGGGTGGAAGAGAAGTCACCCCATGGCGCCATTTCACCCATAAAATTTTAGCTCTCTTGGTGTAATTCAAGATTATTTTCTTTAAATCAACACTGCACTGCATTATATATTGTCAATATGTAAAATAAACTTCAAAATTACCAATAATTTGCTTGTAAACACTGAAAAAAGCGTTTAGTTGAAGAGAGTCTCAAGCAAGATGTTACCTCCACTGAAAAGACAAAAACTGACGCCTGTATGCTGTGTTAGCAGGCTGGATGGCGTGCCACAAACTAGTGACCCTACCTTCAATTATATTCAATAATTGTTAAAATGACTAAAAATTTAATATTAAACTTTTAAAATTATTGAATAGTATAAACTTCTTGATATTTACTAAAAGGGTAAGGAATTTAAGCCCTAGAACTGATTATTGTATTGGCGGACTAATACTACAGCTGGTGGACCGCCAAATGCAAGCTAAAACATGTGGAGGTCGGCTCGTAAGAAACTCGTTAATCGTGGGATTGCTCGTTAACCGAAGTTAAAAATCTTATGGAAGGTAACTCGTTAACCAAAATCTCGTTAACCGAGGCGCTCGTTAACCGAGGGACCACTGTAAATATGAATTCCACCCTCATATTCAATATTTCTCCTCTTATCGAAGTTATTATAAATTACCGTTGTTTAAAACCTGAACAACAACCTGGAAAAATTATAAATATGGAAATGGATGACACATTATAGTAATCACAAAATAAGGGTCCTCATCTATTACTCTTTCAAGCATGTACAGTGATCCCTCGGTTAACGAACGCCTCGGTTAACGAAATTTCGGTTAACGAATTACCTTCCATAAGAACCTTCTACTCGATTACCGAACAAAAATTCGGTTAACGAAATCCTTAAGAAATCGTGTCGACATCTTTTCGCCTGCTCTCCAGCTGGTGTATTACTGTAGTCTGCCAATACAGTAATCGGTTTTAGGGCTTAAATTCGTTACCATTTGAGTAAATATCAAGAAGGTTGTACTATTCAATAATTTTCCAAGTTTTATATTAAAATTTTTTAGTAATTTTAACAATTATTTAACATAATTGAAGTACAGGGAACTAGTTTTTAGCGCGCCAAACAGCCACTTGACTCACCCAGAATGGCGTCAGTTTGTGTCTCTGCTCAGTGGAGGTAGCATCTTGCTTGAGACTCTCTTGAACATAAACTATTTTTACGTTTTTACAGTACAATTATTGGTCATTCTGAAATTTATTTTACATATTGACAATATATAGTGCAGTACAGTGTTGATTTAAAGAAAATCATCTTGAATTACACCAAAGGAACTTAAAATTTTATGGGTGAAATGGTGGCATGAAGCATGGGGTGACTTCTCTTCCACCTCCACTGCTTTCTCTTCTCCCTTCTCCTCCACCACCACTTTTAATTCCCATCATCATCATCAACCAGGAGCCTTCTACATGCACAACTCAAAGTAAGTGTACAGTAATACCCCGCTTTACGCGGTTCTTGTTAAAGCGTTTCCACATTTACACGGTACCCCGCCAGAACCGGAATTCCCACTTTACACGGTGCATCTACTCATATACGCGGGAAGCGGCGCGGGCAGGGTGAGCACAAGGTAGCCCAGTCATCAAAACATTACCGAGTTCTTCACCCGCCACCCACCACAGCCGGCCCAAGTCAGGGATAGTGATAGTGAGGATATGGACTTATATGGACTTTGAGGGGTTTGACAAAGAGGCCCTGCAAGCCTCTGTGGTGGATAGTGATACAAGTGATACAGGTGAGGGCCAATAATCTGACCTCTGCCTCGGAACCAACCCCCCATCCCCATGAGCCCAGCCATCTTTTTTACTAATGTAAATGTTAAAAAACCTAGTATTATTGATATTTCTCTTAATTATTAATTGTGTGTGCATACCATCATAAAATTAAGAAGTTATTTTTACTACAACGTAGGTATTGTGTCTGAAAAAGTGGAGTTTGGGGGTCGGCCCGGTCTCTATTTCAATTAATCCCATATGTTCTGTTGCTCCATTTACGCGTTTCCCGCTTTACGCGGGCCTCCGTGGGTTCAATTGACCGCGTAAAGCGGGGTTATACTGTACTTTACTGCATTTATTTTTAGTTTGTATGTAATTTTTGTGAGCTGGAACCAATTACAATCCCATTGAAACAATGGTTTCGATTAACAAACGACCTTCTGGAACGAATTGTGTTCGTTAACCGAGGGACCACTGTACAGTACAGTGAAAAAAATTACATTCATCCTTCTCTTCCTTCTTTCATAAATTTTCCTGCTTTCTTCAATCCCCTCCCTCTCTGAAAAACTACTTGTTTTGCATACCACCCTTCCACCCCTTCTAACAAAGAGCACCCTCCCCCTAAATCGACCATTCCCCTTCTTCAACCCACATGACTTTACCGTGCAGAAAGGACTCTGCCATGCACAGGGATTAGGTGGTAGAGTGGATGAATACTTTTAACTACGACTATACAGTACGCCCGGGTAGTTCGTGGATTTTTATTTCGCGGTCCTCTATTATTTGTGGATGACACTCTGGATGTACCCAAGAATGTCTGAGGGTAGTTTTAAAGTTGTCTGCATTTTCGCAGCCGGGACAGGGAGACATTCGCTCTGGAGACAGTAATTTCCTTTACCTGTATTTCATATACAGTATGTGTGTGTGTGTGTGTGTGTGTGTGTGTGTGTGTGTGTGTGTGTGTGTGTGTGTGTGTGTGTGTGTGTGTGCATGTAGATACTACACACAAAACACATACAAATAAATAATAATGGGAAAATCCTCTCACAAATAATAAAAAAACAAATGTATATTTTAAATGTTGAGTCTACCCTCAACACTACTATGTGCTTTATTAATAAAGAAAGCACGAAGTGTACTTGAGGGTAAAAGAAATAATTGTCCTAAGGGCAAACACATAAAGAGAATAATTCTTTGTACACAAGTAAAAATGTACTCCCCCACCTTAAGCAAATGTTATTCGCGGATTTGGTGAATCGCAGCCATTTTGAGAACCTAACCCCCGCGAATTTGAAGGGCATGCTGTACATACAATATACAATTTAAAGAAAAATGAATCTTACCTTTAGTTTAGGTTTACGGGCTTCTAGACGTTTCCTCCTTTCAGCCTCAGAGAGAGTGGACAGGTCAAGTGGCATCTGGTGTGGTGAAATTAAAGATGTAGGAATAAATTAACAAGAAACTTTGAAAAAATAAAAGTTTTATTCTCAACTAGATGATCAATTTGGGAATTTTATCAGACATGGGGCTAGGGATGGGCCGGATGATATACGATAACAATCCGGCCAGATATTTCTACAACAGGTCGGACATCCAGCTTTCTATAATTATTACAATACAGGTACACCACCAATTTTCCGGGAACTGATGGTCCGGCACCTCCTTTAGTCCGGACAAATTTATGGGAGGGCACTTAACTTCCTTCCCAGCCAGGGTGAAGGTAGTTTAGGCTTAAAGTTTTTATCTTACAAAATGTAGCTGACCAGACTTAGCAGAATATAAATTGCATTGCTGGAACCCTTGTAAGATAGTGATTAATTTGAGTATAAACATCACATAGTTTGCACAAGAGATGAAAATTTAAGTCTAGTGCAGTACATTTGAGTACAAAGTGTGTACAGTAATGTTGCTCAAAATTATGTTTTTTCACATTTAATTTATATTTAATATATATTTAATTTAAGTTTCTAGCAGTCCATGGTGCTTTAGAGACACGGGAGGCGTTTAATTAGTGGGTCAGAGGTGTATTGTTGAATTATTATTACCTGACCTTGGTTGGTCCGGCAAAACAGATAATCCGGCAAGGCTTTGGAACCAAGGGTGCCGGAAAATTGGTGGTGGACCTGTAATTAATGTCTACCGTATTTTATGGCATATTAGATGGACGGGCATATAAGACACACTCCCCATTTTAGCAGGGAGTATTAAGGAAAAAACTTGTGTGTACAGTGATCTCGTGTTTTTCGCTGGGTTTTTTATTGTGGTTTTGACGATTCGCATTTTTTTTTACTCAAAACTTATATAGTATACTGTACAATATATAAAATATCCTTTAAAAACAAAAATTTTAATTTCGCGCCATTTTCGATGTTCCCCTGTGCGGTGTAGCAAACCCTTTCCCGCCTCAGACACCCGCTGCTAAGAGAAGCCTCAGTCCACACGTGCCAACCATACTGGGAACGCTACTGTGATTACCTCTTCTGTTTATCCTCCCACGTGCATTCCACATGGCTCTGGGATGTAAACCAGCCTCATCAAAGGCAAATATTACTAGCAAAGACTCTAAAGTGACCAAGAGATCAAGAAGAGTGATGACCTTAATGGAAAAAACAGTCTTATTGGACACGCACGCAAGCACGCACGCGCACACACACACACAAACACGTGTTTCATTGACCCACATCAGGTCTGGGGAGCACTAATATTATTATTATAATAATAATAATAATAATAATAATAAAAATAATAATAATAATAATAATAATAATAATAATACTGTAGAACCATAAATAAATATGGAAAAAAATCAAGAGAAACAATATATGTATGTTGTGTTGTCAAAGTAAGAGAAACAGTTGAGACCCTGCAATTGTGTGTAAATGAGGCAGAAAGTCAGATCAGCAACCCGGAACTTGGTCACAATTTTTGTGATGCCATATGGCAGCAGGGTCTACCATTAGACAATACTTTATGCTTCCAATATCTTACTAGGCTGTAGTACCTCCCTGTTTGATAGCTGCCTACTACCAGTACTGTACCAATAAATGTAAGGAATAAATAAAAATTATCCCAATAAATAAGTCTAACACAGTTGACATTTGCATATACAGTGGGGTATGCTATAACGAACGGATCCTACTACGAATATTCCTATAACGAACGGTTTTACCTATAAAAGTGAGAATGCTATAACGAACGAAACTCCTACAACGAACATTATTTAAAAAAAAAAATTTTTTTTTTTACTAATTTATTGTTTTTTTATTACAAGCATTAATGATACTCTTTATTTCAGGGGTTTAGATGCATATTTATGCACTTTTTTACAATTTTTACAATTTTATATTATATTTTTCAGTGTTAAGTGGTTGTATTTGGGGGCCTGGAACGGATTAATCCTATAACGAACAAATGCTATAACGAACATGGTTCTAGAACCAATTAGATTCGTTATAGCATACCCCACTGTACAGAGGTCCCTCGGTTAACGAACGGTTCGATTAACGAAATTTCGGTTCACGAATCAGCTCCCATAAGGATTTTCAGTTCGATTAACGAAATCCTTACGACAAACACGTTTTGTTGTACGCATCAGCTGATCAGCTGATCGGCTAGTCTGCCAATACAGTAATTGGTTCTATGTTTACATTCGTTTCCAGTGAAGTAAGTATCAAGAAAGTTGGTCTCTTGAATATTTCTGCATTTTTTATATTAAAATTATTGGTCATTCTGAAATTTAGTTACAATATTGATAATATAGACAGTACAGGGAACAGTTTTTGTGCGGGCATCAGCTGTTTGAATCACCCAACAACGCTTCTCAGTTTAACTTTGTTTACAGTGGAGTGGACATCGATTTTGTTGGTCTCTTGAATATTTTTGCATTTTTACATTAAAATTATTGGTCATTCTGAATTTAGTTAACATACTGATAATATACAGTGCAGAAATTATTATGAAACATGAAGAAGGCATTAGAACCAATGCAATCTGTAAAGAATATGGCATGTCATCACCAACTGCCTCTACAATCAGCTGTTTGATATGTAAACAAAGCTGCCGGTAATACGACATACACACCTCAAAGTACTGTAAGTTAAAATACAGTATTCTATTGGGGTTTTTTATTTTTGTACAGTATACTGTACAGTACTGTATTTAGTTTGTATTTAATGTTTTGTTAATTCTATAACTGGTACAGGTTGTACCTCTCTAGTCCGGCATTCTGTGGTCCGGAAACTCCCGTGGTCCAGAAAGATTTTAGTTTGCCCATGGAGAAAATTAATTTGAGTCTGGTTCTTTCGATGTTTGGCTAAATTTTGCCTTATTTACCCTACTTTTTTGGCAAATTACTACCTGTAATAAAGACACATCCTTATAAACCAACAAAAATAACACAAAATTAAATAAAAGCTAAAAACAACACAGAAAAGTTCTTATGTTCTACAGCTTCAGCTAGAGTTGAGCATATGTCATCCGAGTAAAAACACACACAACAACATTGGCTGTCGGGGGACTGGTGGTAGAAGCGGTACCGTTCTTGCCTCGCAAGCGAGATGTCACGGGTTCGATTCCCGAGCTGGTAGAAGTTGTTTGGACTTACTTCCTAGCCCCCATTAGTCCCTGTTCACCTAGCAGTAAGTAGGTACCTGTTGTAAGTCGAAAGTTGCGAATTCGTATTCAGGGAGTTGTTGGAGTTTCCAATACTTGATAACATAAAACCACCGACTCTTCAGGCTTCCACGCCCTTGCCTCTTCAGGCTTCTACGCATGAACTTAGCATGCTTCCCTGTTGGGCGCTGTAAACGCTTCTGCGCTTCACCTTACACAAGGATGTAGGGGGGTGCCCAATAAAAAAAAAAAAAAAAAATTGGCTGTCCTTATGTTTTCAACTTTACCACCACTGGTGGGTAGAATTTTTGTTTTAAATTCAGAAGCATTAATTAAAATATATATGAACAGTATGATATGTTTTCACATGTGCGCACTTACATACGTGAGCTCACTTTTTTCTTTATCATTAATAGTTAGCTACTTATATTGTTCCATTTATTAACATTAAATAACATTACTTAAAACAACCATATTAATTTTTTACATTAATTTTACAATAGCTACAACCAGGGTCTTACTTTCTTCAGTTTTATATGTACATCCAGTCAGTCACTGGTTTTGTAATTAACGAAAACAATCCCGTCTCGTTTCCTCGTGTGTTTTAATATTCTACATATTATTAATGAATTGTATTGCTCATTTTGCACACATAAAAATTAATTAAATCAAAAAGACATTCAGTAATAAACAATTATGAATCATTTGTTCATAAGAGAAATGACACTGTTTACAAGATTTGTGCACGTCTGAAAGTTGGTGGGCCGCTCAAACCTGTCGATCAGGTCCCGAGGTTGCCGGACTAGAGAGGTACAACCTGTATACAGTACTTTGTATGTACTTTTTCTGTGATTTGGAATCAATCCCATTGAAATAATAGATCGGTTAACGAAATTTTCGGTTAATGAAGGACTCTGTGGAAAGATTGTTTTCGTTAACCGAGAGACCACTGTACAGTATAGTCTGGATTTACGCGGTTTTTGTTTACGCGTTTGGTCATTTACGCGGTGTCTTGCCAGAATGAAATGTTTTAATTACACGGTAAATTTCATCATTTACGCGGCGAGCGGCTGGAAAGGTCCAGACCGCCACTCCATTTTTTTACTCACGCGGTCCATTCTTGACCATACGCAGGAAGCGGCGCGGTGAGTGGTGCACATTAGGCCACTCTTACGTTATCGCTGACGTCATATGACGTATCGGACTGTGATTGGGCCACGCATCCTTACCACCCACGCATTTCCTCCGCCGCTAGCTGTGATTGGTCTAATGTAACATGACGTGCCCTGCCACCAGAGGAAAGAAGTCGCTGACCTAGCCGGGTCTGTCTCATTGTTCTCAGTCCGCGTATACAGTTCTCTCTTGTGCCCGCTATTCCCCTCACAATGGCTTCCGCTGGACCCCCACCACCCGAGAAAAACCTTGAATTACCTGGACCAAGCCATGATTGTGTGAAGGAAATCATCGAGTTGGGGGAGAAAATTAAGCTCATCCTTGACAACGACCCAGACAAGCATCGGCATGAAGTGTCTAATAACCTTCTGTCGAAAGTTATGGAGCCGTATATCCAGATCTATCTCGACAACATCAATGCTAGTCGTCAACGTAGTATTGAGGACTTCCTCGCCCGCAACCCACCACAACCAGAGCCAGCCCAAGTCAGTGATAGTGAGGATATGGACTTTGAGGGGTTTGTCTGGGAGGCCCTGCAAACCTCTGCGAGTAGTGAAAGTGATTCACCGGAGGGCAACTAATCTGCCCTCTGCCTCGGAACCAGCCGCCATCCACGTGTGCCGACCCAGCTTTTCTACTAACGTAAGTGTTAAAAAACCTAATATTATTGATATTTCTCTTAATTATTAATTGTGTGTGCATACCATCATAAAATTATGATGTTATTTTTACTACAACGTACGTATTGTGTCGGAAAAAGTAGAGTTTGGGGGTCGTCCAAGTCTCTATTTCAATTAATCCCATATGTTCTGTTATTTCGTTTACGTGTTTCTCGTTTTACGCGGACCTCCACGGGTTCAATTGACCGCGTAAATGCAGACTATACTGTACAGGCAAACCCCTTTATTCATAGCCTCGGTATTCGTAACCCCATAATCCGC